CCTGTCGCATGGAAGTTGTGCTGCGCTTGCTGGTGGCATTGCCTCTGTCCTTTGCACCCAGGGAGTTGCTTGACAAATCATCACGGAAGAGCTTATCTGAGTCTACCTAAGAGCTCTTAGACTCCAAGAGAGTTAGCTCCGTCTGGGCAAGCATCATTTGCATTTCAATGAACAACTCAAGCCACATCCAGCCCGAGTTGGCTCAAAATATGCATCGATAAAAAACAAACCAGACGGAGTCCGCATTCGATGGAGCCTTCTCAGTTCACTGTGTAAAGCACTGGTCTTGGTAAAAGCATTTTGTCATGCTGCTGCGCTTTGGAGGTTGTGACGTTCGATGGTGCCATCTTCACCTCTATACCATCTTTTCAATGATTTTCAAAGCTGGGAATTTGATTGAAACCGCTTGAAACTTTGAGATGTTATGAAGATTTCGATCTGTAGTGCGAGGGTTTTGCGTTGGCTGCTATCTGCAGAGTTTGTGCATCGGTTCATCCCAGGTCATTGTTTAGTAGTTCCTTGAGTGTTGGGATTTTCTTTCAGAGGATGACACAAAAGCACTCTTTATGACTACCACTTGAGGCGTACGGTGGACTGAGAGCCGTTATTAAAAGATGGCAGCTGATGGAAGAAAAGCTTTCCTGTTTTTGAGATTAATGATCTATCTTGATGAACTAATCAATTTAGGGTTTGTAGATCTGGGGAGTTGTGAATCTGAAACCAAACCTTTTGGATGTCACTTTTTTCCTGACTTTGATTCAAAGAAACATTTGAAAAAACAGGTTTGTATTTGCCTTGGGATTGTTTGAACCTGTTTCTGCTATCGATTTTCACTCTCAAGGAGTGCAAGTCAAACAGTCTAAGAGACAATCTGAGCACAGCTGTAGCAAACCTTGCTTAGGAGACAGATCTTGTTTTGTTGTTGCGATGTGGTCGCGGAAAAGAACTTGAAGCTTCGCTCTGGTGGTTGTTTGAGTTCACGACTAATTTTCAGCTGGAAGGTGCCAGGCGGTGCCAATTTTGGGTCAACTTTTTGGATTCCAGCCAGCCGTGTCCAAGTGACCCAATCTGTCTTATTGTTGGCGCAAGATATCTCGTGACCAAAGCTGTTGGCAACAGTCAGCACCTTCGACGCACAGTAAGCATCCTATCAATCTTCAAAGAGATTAGGAGTCTAAGATTCCAAAGCCTTAGCTCGAGTCCTAGCTCGAGTCCAGTTGCCCTCACCTCAAAATATCGCGCAATAGACCTGACTTTTTACGATTACAGAGGAATGTTGGTGGATCTGAAGTATAATTTTTCTCAATCAGCCTCAATGATGATCAAATCGAGTTGCTGGGGGCAGACATGAAAAGACAATCGTTTTCGAACTGCTTGGTGCTTCCATTCTCCACTTGGCAAAGCTTTGTTTGGTATCCAATAGCGATTATGCAACTCTCTGGTCCTTGGTGGATTGATGCAAGAAGACTTTGCCTCTCTGGTACTGATGAAGCTCTACTGAGAGGACACTGAGTGGCCGCATTTCACGCATCTTTCATACCCCTGCCTTGTTTCTTCAAAAAAGGCTGCCCAAAGTGGTTTGCCCTTCTGTGTAGTCTTGAAATTCGCATTGCGTAGTAGTGAACCTACGGTTACACCGCACTGCTTTTGTCGCATCATTGGCTGGACTAGAGTGCGTGTGGCCGTCCTTAATAGTAGATTACTGCACAAGGCTGTTGGGTTGTGGTTTTTGTGTTGGGCCCCGGCCCCGTTTTCTGTTGTTTTTCGTCTGTGGAGGGACGAAACGCAGTTCTGGGGGAATTGCGGGTCTTCGTCTCCGCTTGGTTTGTTTTGCTCTTGCTTTCATGTGAATACTCTGACAACTTTATCCTTTTCGATCAGATGATCAGCAATTATTCGCTGACTGCATGGTTTTCAATTAGTTCTGTGGTTTTAACTTTTTCTTACTGTTTCCTGTATGATAAGGACCGTGCCATCAGAGCATTGCGGCCACATTCCGAGGAAAAAATGGCAGACTTCAATTATTTAAATGATGATCTTTTTCTACTTGCAGATGAGATCTTGGAGAGCTTGACTCCACTTGCCATTCCAGCGTCACTGGTGTGGAAAAAGAGTGGTGCGATTCAGATGAGTGAAGCCGTCAGTTTTTGTGGAATGTTTCGGATGTTCACGTTTTTTGAGATTGGATTTTTCACGAGCGTTTGACGAAGTTTTTTATTTTCAGTGGTTTTGACGCGTGCGCAAGTACGAGCCAGTCAACTGGTTGATAGCTCCTTATTGCTTTTGTTTGTGAGACGCAATGTTTCGTGCTCCTCTTTGTTTGCTGGCCACTTGCTGATCACCTCGTTCCTAGCTGGCTGTAGGGCCGTAGGGAACCACTCGAAGAGTTTACAACGCTGCCAACAAATCAAGTTATTCTTTTGCGAGGTGCGCGCTGGTTTTTACAACTGGATTTCTCAGTGACGTGTTAAAGCAAAGTATGATACACTGCAATGGATGGCAATCTGGAAGACCCATTTCAGAGTCTCAACAACGTTTCCTTCAACTCTTCTTGGTGGCATTGATGATCAATATATGTTCTTTGCATGCATGGCTCGATATACAGGGTAGGGTGGAGGGCAGCCTCTGTATTTTTTTGTAGAGGCTGCCCCACCCACCCAGCCCACCCTTGGTACAAGCGGTCGAGAATTTCCTCATCCTGATCAATTCCGGCTGGACAGTCATTTGTATACTTGATTTTGACAGCCAATTGAGATGGAAACATATGTGGTGGTGAGCGGTTTATACTCTTCTTGCTACTGCCAGTCTCGGGAGAGCGGGCATTACACTCATGGATGCTGGGTGAAATATACTTTTGCTGGCAGACTTCAATTCCGATGATTTATATGATCATCTTTTTTTGGCGGCAAATTGCAGATGAGACTTTGCAGAGCTTGACTCTACTTGCGATCCCAACGTCACTGGTGTCGAAAAAGAGTGGTGCGATTCAGATGAGTGAAGCCGTCAGTTTTTGTGGAATGTTTCGGATGTTCACGTTTTTTGAGATTGGATTTTTCACAAGCGTTTGACCAAGTTTTTTTTTTCAGTGGTTTGACGCGTGCGTAAGTAGCAGCCGCAAACATTAGAAATAATTGGCCAGTTTACACTAGGATGTATTGGCCGGGTGTCACGCGGTGTGGACGTGTCCATCGAAGTGCGACAGCCAGGTATGTACGTTCGCTCTTCTGAGGTGCTGTTTATCATATATTTAACAGCAGCTCTGGACATGGGCGTCGTAAGGTAATGTATTTCCCCGGTAACTTCGTCACGACGAAAACACCACGTTATTCTCGAAAACCTTAAACACCTTTCGGTTTGGGTTTAGGTTTACCTTGTGGGAATATATTCCCCCGAGGTATGTTTTGCTTGTCCCGATTTGTCTCTGGTGAATGTATTTCACTAGAGGGTGATTTTATTTAGTGATTTTATTTATACAGGGAACGTATTCCTTTGATTCGAGGTGAAAGCATTTCACCTAGGGATATTGGAGTGAAAGTATTTCGCGCCAGTTGTCTAAAACCTGTGGGATGTCAATTCCGTTATACGACCAGCACCTGCTATGGGGGTCCTCTCCCCCCCCCCCCCCCCCACCCACACCTAGGGGGGATGAAAGCGAAGGCCCTTCGGTTCTCTGGACTAGAAGGGATGGAGCAGCCAGGGTCATCCGCCTTGACTTGAATTCGGGCACTTGACCAAATAATAAAAAAGGAGAGAAAAAGGAAATTCAAATATCAAGTCCGAGGGATTGCATCTATTAACAGGTATGTACTACCTGAGATTAATATTTCAACAAGGAACTGAGTCAGGATGAATTGAGTTTTGTAATCAACTGGCCATATGTAATTTGGCCAGCTTACAATAGGATGTACTGGCTGGGTGTCACAGAGGTAGAGCAAGCCTTACCTGGGCTGGGAATGTAGGAATCTCGCAACCGAGAAGATGTGTGAACGCATCCCCGTCAAGGTCTCAACTGTGACCAAGCAGCATGCATGGAAAACTCCAATTTCAGCTAGCGTTGCGAGGATCTCAAACAGAAGGGACCAAGCGGGAAGCACCGCCCAGAAACCAAAAGGCAGTGTGAACTGCATCAAGTCTTTGGTGATTCTCAGTCAGATCGCCGCAGTGCAAGCACAGGATCAAGAACGTGAATGGGTTAACCCCATCCTCCTGTATATCCTTGCTTTCATCGGCTTGATGGGCATCTATGAAAATCTGTATCAGCTAGGCAGGCTGATCAGAGAGTGGTTTCTGAAGGCGAAGTCCCCCAGCCAGAAGCGGGAGCGGAAATCTAACTCCAACATGGCACTAGCCAAAGGTCAAACGGTGAGAGCACCAGCGGCAATCCCGCGAGCTGGGAAGACCCAATTCCTAGTCGCATAGAACGTTGGGCAGAGGAACAGTGGGTACAGAGAGGGGCACAACAAAACAATATGACCTTCTAAGAGCTGGTCGAATGGCGCAGGCGTGACCTTATTCATGGCGAAGAGCCGGACTCCAGTCAAGAAACCGGGATGCGGAAAGCCCCGCGTCTGAGCGGGAGCGGGAAGCACCGCGTGATGGGTAACTCCGCCGATCTCCAGGCTCGGCATGGAGCTCTTCGAGCAAAGCTCCCCAACTGAGCGGGCAGCTCCACCAGAGAGAACCACCACGTCCCCATGACCCATGGACAAGATAGAGTCCGGAGGATCCTCGGTAGCTTGGACGAGCCACATACTACCCTTGGCGTCAACACTGGACATTGGCTGCAACGGTCGTGCTTCCCATTTAAGTGCTCGGAATGCTCGAAGGAGACTATTTCTGTCACTTCCAAACGGGAAAGGATGAGACCGAACGAGCTCCAGCAGAGGTGCGAAGCCGAGGATCGGGGGATGGGAGGGTGCGGTATAGCTACGTCTCACAAAGGCTGGCAAACTGCACAGAGTAAAACCTAGGAAATAGGTAGTTGTGTACGGTTGAGCATTTGAGGTAGAGAAGGCATGCCATGAGCTCATGACCGCAGCCCGTTTTTTTGCACCTAGCCGTGCGCTCAAGGAAAAGGTGCGACTGAAGTGTGGTGTCTTGGAACTAGCAGGGTAAATAACCGAATAGAAACCCAATACACGCTGACCACTGCCATCTCGCTTTGCACTTTATCAGGCTCTCCACCAGATCTTCTCACAAGGACCTGTGCAAGCTCATGCAAGGACCTCATAGAGAGGGTTTCACCAGGATCTCCACAAGATTTTCTCACAAGGACAACCGTTTTGTGCGAGCCTGCGCTGTCCCAATCAATGCACATGGACATCTCAGACGAGGCAATTGACGCGAAATTTTCCAATGAGAATGCCGCAGACCAAGACCGGGACAACCGTTTTGTTGGAGCGTGCGCAGTCGAAATGCACATGGACATCTCAAAAGAGGTTGTTTACGCAAAAAAAATCAGGCAAACTGCTGCAGGCCAAAACCGGGACAACCGTTTTGTGCGAGCGTGCGCAGTCGAAATGCACTTGGACATCTGACAAGAAGCATTTTATGCGAGAATTCTCAGGTATAACACCCACATGGACATCTCACAAGAACAATTTTCATGCGGAAACCCGACCTCCGATGGAGCAGCCTGATCAAGCACCGGCCTTAGCCCTTGCCGTAAGAACCCCTAAGTGTGGACACATTGTTTGGGGAACAAAAGTGATGAGTCCTATTCACAGTTTTGAGGAGGGCCGTGAAGAACTCTAGATAGAGCCTACTCATGGCCAGCATACAGGCAAGGATGACGCGAATCAAGATGAAACGTTGGTGTGGCACTTGAGTTTACTTGGCATGAATCACATGGCAAAGATTTCCTGCCTTTGTGACGCAAAATAAAAACGCATTTCCATGCGGTTTTCTTTGCAGAAAACGCCCGGCCGCCCAGCTTTCAAAAAGGCCAAACCCACAGCCTGGCCACAGATCAAAATGGCAATCAAATTTCAAAATATCCCAGCAAACACGGGATCAGAACCACAGTGAATCGCGGTGCATCCACATTGGCGATCACTCAAGAGGGATCCGTTTCAAAGAGTTGGCCCTCCAAGGAACAATCCATCGTTTTGGCAAACTCCTGCAGTATGCAGGTTGGTTTGGAGCCGAGAAAAGGCGGCCAAGGGTTCTGCGGTGAAGGTTGCTAGAGAGCCAATAATGTATTGGGCGTGAAAATTTCCAAAATATGGCCAAATTCAGTTATCGTTTCGAACATGTTTTTTGTCGTGTCTCAACATTGCACCATCACCATGCTAACGTTGCAAAACTTTGGAAGTGCAACCATCGTGTATGTGGTGCATGTTGTTACACAGTTGGACAGCCTTTTGATTTTTTATGCAGACATTGTTTGATGGGTCGCAGTTTTAAACACTTTAAAACCAGTCCCATCGCGTGGTTTTCTTTCAGGCTCAAACATGTTTAAATTGAATTGTAAAATATGAGTTGGTTCCAATGGAACGCATTTTTTGAAAACATTCGTTTGTGCTAGAGATATTTTCCAGCCATGTTTTCCCGTTGATTTGATTTTTGTGAAATTATGTTTGTTTATTCAAAAATACATTTTCACGTGTGGCCTAAACATGCCTTCCAGAGATGGCGAGAAGTCCTGATTTGAGGATACACATTGTCCGATGCTCGCAAACAGTATTGTTTGTATGAATCCACAGATTTAACCAACCATTTTGTCCATGATTGCAATCCTACGGTAAAGAAGTGGTCGGCTGAAACCTCAAAACTTCACGAATCTTGGCAAATTTTCACGAAAAACTCGGTTGGATTGGTTTGGGTCTTGGCAAATTGGTTGGATGATTGACGTTTGTAGAACTACCCAATGCTGGGGGGGTTTCACAGTGTATTAATCAAAAGAACCTTTGCCTTTGTACTCCCGTGTTGTATCCTAAATCAATGGAGTCGGAGGTTTGAATGGAATGTGAGCAGGGACCACAACTTTATTCAACAGAGGAGGAAGGAGGTCATGTTATCACCTCGAAAACAACGTCATTTTACAGGTACATGTTTGGGTCCTTTTGCAACAAACAAAATCGTATATTGTTTGGAAACATTCTCTTGGATGGCTGAAACATTGCTTTGGACTGCACCAGTCTTGAACCATTGTGCGACATTGTAGACCTGTATCTGGTGAAAATCAACTTATCAACGTGAAGATGAAATAATTTCAAAACACATGCGACACTGCCCCATCTCGTGATTTTGTGTAATTTCTCCATAACAACCCCGGCTTCAAACATTGAAGGCAATATCAACCCGTGGCACATTTTTTTCGTTTCGTAGACTCTATATGGCACAGACACTCTTTTTGTCTGAGCCTAGGGATGAACCACATCAGGCTTTTGCTGGCCCTAGATTTCCCTGGATGACACCAGGTTCCAACCACCAAATGTTCGTGTTTCAGCACTTATTGAGCAAACAACGTTGTCAACCCTTTGTCCAGGGGATATTGATGCAGGTGAAGTGAATCGTTTTCCCAACAACAGTCAGAACTCCAAACAACCGGTGTGTTCTCCTTTTTTTTGCATATCATTTTGGTGGTTCTGGTACTTGGGAATTTGGCATGATGGTAGGATTGCCCCAATCATTCTGCACCCCCTAAGGAAATTTTTCCCAGTGGTTCAAAACACCAGATGTCAGTGCCAAGGATCCTTGTATTTCTGGCGTTTCCAATTGTTTGCGTGTCTCTTGGCAGTTACAACTGTTCAGTTGGGGCCGGAAAAAAATGTTCATTTTGACTGGAATTACCATGTAATTTTTTTCCATTTTGTTTGTGGTTTGTTCTTCTTTGAATACTTTCATTTTGTTTTTTGAAACCGAAAAGGGAAACCGTTTGTGTTGTGATTTATCAGTGGAAAAATCCAATACACCAATTCAAGCATGCGACTGCACAGTCGCCAAATGATTTTTTTTCTAGATTTAGATGCTTCTAGGACAAAATTTGGCCGGTTTGATGATGATCAAATGTCAAACCCGTGTATGAAACACTCCCATGAAATCAGAGATGGACATGCTCTACACATTGAAACATTGTCCTGAAACATTTGTTGCCCAGGACTTGGCCGGAAGAACAACGATGCAGAACCAGGTGCAAAAGGTCACAGAGGAGATTCTTGAAGATCTCCAACAGTCATTGCAGTCTCGCCTGGAGCGGTTCACCGGGACTCTGAGCAAGATCAAGTCGTTGCAGTCTCAAGTGGAAGAGAAGCAGGCTGTTATAGACTCGCAGAGGGCTTCCATCGACAGGCTGCAAAGTAGATTGGAGGGCTTGGAAAAACGGCTTGCGCTCTCTGAGACTCATGTGAAAGAGTTGGAGGCTCATAGGAAGGATTTGCAAAAAGACTTGCAGCAGAAGCAGGCTGAGCTAAGTACCGCGCAGACTATCATAGAGGACTTGGAGGTCGATGTTGAGGAATTGCAAAAAAAACTGTCTGAAAAACAGCAAAGCAGAAAAACTTCCTCCACGCAGACGCAGACAACAAGTAAGGCATTCAAAGAATCCAGGGCTCGTTTGGTCACTCAAGTGAAGAATCTAGAGAAGCAGGTTGTGCAGACAGAGAAAGAAAAATCATCGTTGGCACAGCGGTTTGATGCGCAACCGCAAGTGGATGGTGAGACTTGGCAATTTCAGGGTGACAGCGGCGAATGGATCTCATTCACTGATCCTTTGAAGATGTTTGGAATGTTTGTTTTTCCCCCAAGGTGTGGAAAACAAGAAACCTAAGTAAAACCATTTTTTTGTCCTTTAGATTCCAGGAGAATTCGAACAAAGATTTGATGGACAAGTTCAGAGAAGGCAAGGAGGTTTGCGAGATCAAGATAGATGGAAAGACCTATGACATCAGCTTTAAATACCGCTGGCAGAGGAACCAACGCACCAAGAAGGAACGGAAAATCCGCTGTTGCTTTGGTTTACCAAGCCACTGGAACGTCACAGATGAAGATGCGTTGAGGCTTCTCAAGGAAAGTCTGCAAGCACCACTTCCACAAATGCATCCCAGCACCGATATTTGGGAAACAGTCCAGAAAGTAACTGACCGAAAGATGTTGTCAAGCTTATCGAAGGTGCTGAACCAGTCCCTTTCCCGTCATGATGGCACTCACTGTGATTGCCCTCATGGAAGCTCCAACTTCGTTGTGATCGAGGCTTTCCAGATCAAGAATCGTCATGTGTGGCAACGGTACCAACGCTGTGTTCGATCCATCCGTGACAAGCACAAGCAGCATGGTATCTCTCCTGGCACCATCAGTCCGTTATTGAGCAAAGCCTTGAGTGAGTTTGCCAACGATATCGACGTGGACCAAGCTGGCAACGAGCGCCTTCTCCTACACGGGACGAAAACTTTTGAAGTTGGAAAAACCATTGCATCAGAAGGCTTTGACAATCGGGTCGCCAAGGATGGACTCTTTGGAAAAGGCACCTACTTTGCAGCCCAGACTTGCAAGGCTGCTCAATATGCTTCCATACATGGAATGTCTCAGAAAGCATCACAGCAGATGCCAGGGACCATGCTTCTGGCTCGGGTGGCTATTGGGGATCCTTTCTACACAGAAGGTCGGTGTCACACCTTGTCACGTGCCTTGACAGAAATCAACCATTTTCAGAGGCAAGTTGATTTCCTAGACTTGGCCAACATCTCATTGTTGTCTATTAAGTTATATTGTTACTACCCCTTTAAGGCTACTTTTCAGGGGGACCATACCAAAATGTAAGATATATTTTTTGCCCCCCCCCCCAATGTAAAATTGGTCGCTGAACGTCCCCGAGGTGTCGTTTTTGTGGAAAGGGTCTTCAAAATACCTTCAAAATGTAAGCTTACATTTTCAAGGCCCCCCCTCAAAAACACCTTGAAAAATGTAGCTTAGATTTCCGGTATGTCCCCCCCTCAAAACGGTTGTGATGTTATATATATATATATTATTATATATATATTATTATATATATATATTTGTACATGTATAGTGACATTCCCATGTTCTCAGCAGCAGTGCTTAGTGCTTGTTGCATTTCAATCTCTGTTCCTGGGACTGGTGCATCATGAATGCAAGCCGCTGGAACCATGGCACCCTGTAATAATCTGGAATTGTTGTTGCTGTATGTTGCTATTGGGGATGCTGTCTCTCCAGGGCTTCAAACGTTCTGGGGCTTGTCATCCTCATCAGGTCATGGTGAATAAACCACGGTCCTTCACTGAGGTCACCTCAAATGGTGTAGCAGAAAGTTTCTGAAATGCAGCCGCCAAAATAGTTAAAATATATTAAAATATGTTAAAATAGAATAAAATAGATCCCAACCCCTGCATCGTTCCTTTCCACCGTTTTCTGCAAAGCTACCTTTTTTGAGGTCCTCCAGAGACGGATGGCCGCCGGGCTGATTCCATCATTGCACGGCCTGGCATCCCCAATGGCCAGCCTGGCGGAGTGCAGAGCCATATGGAAGTTGTGACCTTTGACCCAGGGCAGGCCTATCCGGAGTTCATCGTGAGGTTTACTGAGGAGTAATGAAATCAATGGAGAGCCCTTAGAAATCGAAGCTCCCATCAAAAATGATGGGTGCTTGCCAGTGGCAATCTCCGGTTTGCTGGAGGTGCAGAATCGCCCTATGCAGATTCTTGCGCGAATGCAGTGATTTTGACAGAGAGAGAGAGAGAGATACAGCTTCAGTTTTTTGTTTTTCTGGTTTTGATTTGGATCATTTCGTGCTACATATGTTGGGATGTTGGGCGATTTTGCACCGTGAAGCTTGCTGCTGAAATCACCAGGGAAAGAACTGTGGCGATTGAAATAGATGGCTGTGCTGTGCTTGTTTAAAAAGATCGAGCTGCTGGGGCTATGAATCAGCCCAGGTCTTTTGAAGTGTGGCTTGCACTTTGACAATGCTGAAAAGCATTGAAAAGCAACATTCCGTTGGGGGCAGAACTGCAGGGTCCAAGGCCCACAAATGCAGGAAGTGGCAATACCTGTGGAAGATTCACGTACCGACTGTATCTTCTCATTTTAGAAAAAATGAGGCATGCAATCCATCCTTTGCTGGTGACAATCAGGCAGTAAATTTGGAGCTGTGTCAACCCAGTGAGCTGTGGCGGTTTGAGCTGAACTACCTCTGAGTTCGTGATGTTAGCAGACTGTAACTGTAATATTTGAGGACCATCGTAATAACTATTCCATACTATCACTGTCTTATTGTTTGTGATGTGTAATTTTTCACCAGGTCAACTTAAAAAAATCACGTGATCACTATTCTGATTGAATAGAAGAGGGGTGTACCGTAGAGGCGCTGGACCATTCGACCCATCGTGGTGGTTCACAGCTTCTGCTTTCCAGCACAATCGTAGCTGATCTGCAACACAAAAGGCACGGCATGTGTCTAAGGAACATGATATTATGACGACGCTTAGTCTAAACATATCTAAATCACATGGATGATGTCACAGAATAAACACTTGGATTCCTTTGAATCAAATACCTTGCTATTGGTCATTCAATCAATTGCAGATAGTGCATATGCACCTGGTATATGAGTTCACAATTTGTGCGGTTCACTGATGATAGAACCAAATGTGGCGACAGAGGCGGGGATTTATCAACATTTGACAGCTGTAATCTATGAAACCTATATTTTGGTGGGTAAGATTGTATGGTCCTACAACCGTTTCAAACTTGTTGAATAGTTAATAGTTCCCAACAGCAGGGCCTGTTGGGTTTCAATCTCTAGGGCTGGGGCTGGCTTGCGGGGACTTGCAGCCTTCAAAATCCGGAATGGAACCCTGGAACCCTGGAACCCTGAAACCTTGGAACCCCGGAACCCTGGAACCTTGGAACCCTGCAACCCTGCACACCTGGCACCCTGCTGGGATCCTGGAACCCTGAAACCCTGGAACCCTTGGAACCCTTGGAACCCTGGAAACCTTGGGGCCCTGGTACCCAGGTACCCTGGGACCCTGGAGCCCTGGAACCCTGAAACCTTGGGGCCCCGGGGCCCTGGGGCCCTGGAACCCTGGAACCCCGGGGCCCCTGGAACCCTGAAACCCTGGAACCTTGGAACCCTGCGACCGTGGAACCCTGAAACCTTGGAACCTTGGCACCCAGGAACCCTCAAGGATTCTGGAACCCTGCTACCTTGGAACCCTGGAACCTTGGAACCCTGCAACCCTGCACACCTGGCACCCTGCTGGGATCCTGGAACCCTGAAACCCTGGAACCCTTGGAACCCTTGGAACCCTGGAAACCTTGGAACCCTGAAACCGTGGGACCCTGGTACCCTGGAACCTTGGAACCCTTGAAACCCTAAAACTTCCAAACCCTAAACTCTATGCGCGCTGCGCGCGCTGCATGCAATAAAGTAAACCCTAAAACTTCCAAACCCTAAACCCTAATGCGCGGTGCGCGCGCTGTGTCCCAGAGAAGTAAACCCTAAAATTTCCAAACCCTAAACCATCGTGTTATGCAACTTCCAAACCCTAAAGTTTAACCCGCGGTGTGCGCGCTGCATGCAATAAAATAAACCCTAAAACTTCCAAACCCTAAACCCTAATGCGTGCTGTGCGCGCTGCGTGCCAGAGATAAACCCTAAAACCTTCAAATCCTAAACACTAATGCGCGCTGCGCGCGCTTTGTGCAATAGAAATAAACCCTAAAATCTTCAAACCTGAAACTCTCGTGTCATAGAGGTAAACCCTAAAATTTCCAAACCCTAAACCCTAAACCCTAACGCGCGCTGCGCGCGCTGTGTGCCATAGAAGTACCCCTTAAAATCTCCAAACCCTAAACCATCGTGTCATGGAGGTTAACCCTAAAACTTCGAAACCCTAAAGTTCAACCCACGCTGTGCACGCTGCATGCAATAAAATAAACTATAAAACTTCCAAACCCTAAACCCTAATGCGCGCTGCGCGCACTGCGTGCCACACACATAAACCCTAAAACTTTCAAACTTTAAACCGTAACGCGTACTGCGCGCACAGCCTGCCATAGAGGTAAACGGTTAAACTTTCAAACGCTGCGTGCCATAGAGGCAAAGCCTAAAACTTTCAAACGCTAAACCGTAAAGCAGGCTGCGCGCGCTGCGTGCCATAGAGTGCTCCTCAAAAGTGATTACATGTCATACTTTAGTGGCATCCTCCAAATTCATTAGTCAGCCTTTGTTAATCCAGGGCCCATTTTACACATGTCATCTTCTTGGTCGTGGCGCCATTTCAGGATCACACTGATGACCTAAGCTTTGGCCTTAACTATTATGCAGGCAAGCGACATCAGCACGCTATGGTATTGGAAGACACAGGGTTTGCCCGTAGACCAGCCAAAAAATCGATTTTCCACACTGAACAATTGGATTTAACACATTTAGAATAGGAGCTCCGCCTGATTCAGATTTCATCACTTAAAAGGTACCCATGCCTGACTAGCCTTCATGACTTAAAGCGTAACCACACCCGACTTAAGGGAACCATGCCTGACTAGCCTTCATAATTAAGAGGTACCCACCCACGCCTGACTTAACAGAACCCATGCCTGACTAGCCTTCATAATTAAAAGGTACCCATGCCCCTGAATTCAGGGAACCATGCCTGACTAGCCTTCACAATTAAAAGGTACCCACTGGAACCATGCCTGACTAGCCTTAATGACTTAAAAGGTAACTACACCTGACTTAATACCTGATTTACTGGTTTTGCCTGATTTTGGAAAAACGCAGGGCCGGAATTTGCAGGGCGCGGGCCGGAATTTGCCGGGCCCGGGCCGGAATTTGCCGGGCTGGGATTTTGGGGTCGTGCCTAAATAGGATTTTTGCAAAAATCGTGCATGACTGAAGGGAACCATGCCTGACTAAACATCATACCAATCATCCCAAAAGAATCCAATAATTCCAGCAAGTGATGCCTGACCAATCCCTGCGTCATAATAAACCGTCTGCCCCTCCCCACCCAATAATGAACACACGGAATAGTTTTTTGTATTTAGTGGGTATTTAGTATGAGGGTGCGAAACTTCCCCCTTGGTTTAAAAAAACTAAATTGGAAAACATTTTTTAAATAACATCTAACTAAAATATTGCCAAAATTGGATTCCGAAGCTTCCCCCTGACATTAAATTGAAAACATTCGTTTTAAAAAATGAACTTTATATTTCAAAACCGATTGAATTCCTATTCAAAATCTAACTCAAATCTTGCCAAATTGGATTTCGAAGCTTCCCCTTATATTAAATTGAAAACCTTACTAATCCCCACCTCCTTTTACTAAACGTACCCTAAATACTAAAATATTACATTGATTCCTTTTACTAGGGTCCGCGTTACATTTTGGGAAATTTCGGGCTGGCCAGTTTGACTTTTAATTGATACCTTTTCAAAAATAAATTAAACATGAAGGTCCCATTTCAGGATTTCACCACCAAAAAAAAAAACTAGTCAGCCCCGGTGATTTTTCAAACTAGGGTCTTTTAAGGTCGAAAAAATAAGTATTTTATATTACAACGTTTATATAATATTGGGGGAAAACTTCGAAATCCACTTTTTGGCATTTCCTGGCAATATTTTTGCTGGATGTCAAAAGGAAATCTAATCGATTCTTGAAATCGAAAAAACATAGTTTTTTTAATTAGTGTTTTTAATTTAATCTTAGGGGAAAACTTCGAAATCCAATTTTTAGCAATATTTTAATTATATGTTAAACAGAAAACTAATCGATTTTGAAACATTTTTTTTTTTAAATATATTAGGGCTGGTAATTTAATATTAGAGGAAACATTTCAAAATCCGGTTTTTGTTTTTATTTTTGTTACTACAATTTAAAAGGACATCGAATCGATTTCAAAAAAGAAAAAATAATATTTTATATTAGGGTTTTTTAATGTAATATTAGGGGAAAACTTCAAAATCCAATTTTTGACCATATTCTAATTAGATTTCAAAAGGAAATCTAATGAATTTTGATATAGAAAAAATAGTCTTTGATATGAGGGTTTAATATGAGGGGAAAGCTTCGAAATCCAATTTCTGGCAATATCTTAATTTGAATTTACAAGGAAATCTAATCGATTCTGAAATAGAACAAATTTAGTTTTTTATATTGGAATTTTTCATGCAAGATTAGGGGAAGCATCGAAATCCAATTTTTGAACATATTTTAATAATTGGATTTTAATTTGATATTAGGGGAAAGCTTCAAAATCAATTTTTTGTTTTTTATCATTAGATTTCAAAAGGAAATCTAATCGATTTTGAAACAGGAAAAAAAACAAAATGATATTAGGGTTTAATATAAGGGAAAAGCTTCGACATCCAATTTTTTGGCCATATTTTATTTAATTTTTAAAAGGAATTCTAATCGATTTCGAAATAGAAAAACATACATAGTTTTTTATGTTGGGGGTTTTTATTTGATATTAAGCTTCGGAATCCACTTGTTTGCCATATTTTAATTGGATTTAAAAAAAAGAAATCTGATCGATTTTGAAATAGAAATGTGTATATATATATATGTGTGTGTGTTTTTTTTATCAGTATTAGGGGGAAGCTTCGTACCCTAAGGCTAAAGACCCCCCCAATACTAAAAACTCCTCCAGGTGTTTGTTATTTGGGTGGGTGGGTGAAGGGGCGACTGTTTAGCAACAGGGGGAAGGGATTAAACCGTTTTTTGTTTCTAATTTCAAAATCCATGAAAATAATCTTTAAATAGAATACTGCCAAGAATAGGATTTCGAAGCTTTCGCCTAGTATCAAATAAAACACCAACACCTGAATTAAAAAAACTAAAATTGACGATTTTAAAGGACGGACCCCAATAAAAGACACCCCGGTGTTGACTAGTTTTTTATTCTTTGGGGGTGAAACCCTCACATGGTACCTTCATTTTTAAAATTGTTTCCTCAAGGGGATCAATTAAAAATCAGATTAACCAATTTGACATTTCCCAAAATTGGAAATCGCACCTAGTTTTTGTCATTTGGGGGTATTTTTCGTAATAGGGAGAAAGGATTAGCAAAAAGAATGCCTGATCAAAATGATGCTGATTCTGTGTGTTACAATCTTTTTGCCCACTACAGTGCCTACAGGGTTACAAGGGATGCCGTGCCAGCTAGAGTCCCAAGTCCATTCAACCAACACCCTAATCGATGAAGTTGGACTTGTTGAAATGGAAGTGGGACTGGACCAGTTGACATGGGGCGATGCTGACCTTCAACGGGAGCTTCGGCGCCTGAAGGACAACAGTTTGAAAATTCCGAACCTGAAATATATTTTCAAAATTGCCTTACTAAGAGTGATCCCCACCCTGACACACTATTCTGACATAGTTTCTGACATATCATCTGGACGTATATGTGGCATATATGTTCTGACATACTATCTTACATTCTTTTCTGAGATTCTATTTGACATTCTTTCTGGCATCCTATCTGGCATCTATTCTGACATACTTTCTGGAATATACTATATTCTGATCCTGCCTTGCCATGAGTTTGGGCTGGGAGTGCTTTTATTTGCGTGGATCAATGCCAATGGCTTGAATATCCACCAAATGTTGGTTTCACATGTTTGCACCCAATGATTGCCATTACCATTGATACCCCAAAATGGCCAGGTCCTGAATTTGAGAGTAGGTCCTGAAAAGTTTTCTGGGTACTGAAAAAACAGGACTTTGGCACAGGGTCTGAAAAAAGACGTAGGTGGAAGATTCAGGTATGCTGTTGGGTTGCAAAGCTGGGTTAATTGTTTCCAATATGGATTTGTTTCATATCATGGCTCAGCATGCCACATTGTCTCTTGTCTCGGGATCCGTCTAGGGTTCGTGTAATCCACTGAGAGCCAAACTATTTTATTGCCTCGCTGCAGGCAAGGGCATTTTCAGCACACCAAGCTCAGCAAGGGCTGTGCAGAAATTTGGACTCGCCCTCAGATGTTTCCACCATCATCTCCGTGATTGTTGGTTTCGCAGTGGAAGTGGTTCCTATTCAAATTTTAGACATACTCTGGATGGTTAAGAAATCCTGCACCAGTTGGTAGATGGCTCATCCCACATAAAAAAGAACATTATTTACAGTGTTTCAGAGTTACCAATAGTTACCAATAGTTACCAACTGGTGCAGGAGTTTGTCTATATCATCCAAGGGGTTCGACTGGAGGTATTGCTACCTCTTCCCATTGAGCTTCATTACAGCCAGCTTTCTGCGTCCAAACACTGTGGCCAGGGCCTGAAGGGGGATGATGTAAGAAAATCATGTGGTAAACCCAACAAAAAACCTCCAAGTTTGAAAGTTTGTACCCGCCAATGGCTAGTGATATTGGGATGGTTTGCTATTGAGTTTACCACATTAGTGAGGGACCTGGGTCCAAACAGAATTTCTTTGGTGGTCGAGCCACCGATTTTCTACATTTTGACCATTTGTGATTTGTGAGGCCAGCGCAGTGTACATAGTGCTTGCTTTCCTAGCGCTGGTTCTGCCAGCTTCGTTTGCCAATAGATACGAGCCTCCGTCTCAGGAAGTAGAGTTGTTCCTTTGCAAAGCGAGAGTGAAGATGAGAAGAAATGATTTGATGGTTCCGCTATGATATGCTGCGTTTACATTTTGAGTGGTTTCACAGTACCGGTACCGTAATTTTTGCCTTCTTGACTCCTGTCTTTCTGCACGGTGATTTGGCGAGGCCTTGCCGATGGCATAGACTACACCTTTGTATCTGCCTACTTTGTGGAAGTCTTTTAATCGCTGCAGCCACACTGCTGATCCTTTGCAGGCCTCGGTCCAAAAATTTGTAGGAAATACATGGAAATACTGAAATACTCTGCTTCTCAAAAGTCATCGATTCCACCTCGAATCGAAGGAGACTTTGGTTCGTTTCTCCCTTGGAACCTCACCACTGGGACGGAAGAAAAAGCGTGCAGCAAGTCTTAGCCGCGGCACCTCCGTCACATGTGTCAAAACATGTCAAAAACTTGTCGAAAGAGACGTCACCTTGTGGCCCCGGGCTTTGGAATCTCGGAATCTCTGTTCGATGCAACGCTGTCCGGGAAAGTCCTCGTAGTTTGAAGATTTATTCGTCGCCACTTGCACTGATGCCGTTCACCCTTTGGTATCACAAATGGCAGCAAGGGATCGTTGGTGTGGACCACGGTAGGTGATTTTTTCGTTGTTTTCAATGTAAAGTATTGTCAAGTAAGGCAGCAGAGAGATCAAATATTGGACAACGTTTTGCCTGGAAAGCTGCTTGCAACAAGCGTCATGTCAAGTTATGTCAAGTTGCCCAGTGGAGGCAAGCGGTGCTCCAACCAGATGCTGTTTATCTTGTGAAGCTATTTTTCTTTGGAGACGCCTGGAACCAAGCCAACTGAACAGAGATCTATGTCGAGGCAGTCGCATGGCGAGTCAACCTAAGGCGAATTGCCATGACAAGAGCAACTTATTGCCAGAGGCGAGCAGACACTCAGAAACTCGAGTCGTTGCAGAACGTGTTATTTTGGAGAAGATGTCACTGGCTTCAAAAGTTTTGTCGTTTCGGAAAGACAGTTTTTCAAAAATGTGAGAGACTGCGAGATTGAAATGGGTTTGTCATGGTTTGTCTCAAAATAGGTATCCATAGGTATCCCCAATTCCGATGGATTGTCCGATTATTCCAATTTTTTCCCTCTTAAAACCAGCTATTTGGAGGACCGAAAAAAACCCATTTTCAGACACAATCTTCGTTCAGCCTGTGCAGATCTTGGCGTTCGTGGCGGCTTTTTTGGGCTGGATCCTGGGCTGCTATGTCAAGCGCATGGAGGTGACGAAACGACGGGTTTTCAAAACTGAATTGAGCAGTGTTCAAAACTTCTGTTGGTGGATGATTATAGATGATTATAGGCTTTTCTTCTTGGCCGTTGTACTATTGTGTATACATTGGGTCTACATTGGTGGCATTGTTTTCTGTGTTTTTGTATGTTTTTTTCTCATCATTCATTGTGGGAATCCCCTTCTGCAGGAGTCTCCAGCTGTGGATTCTGTGGATGTCTGGGACAATCCTTTGATGTCCCCCCGGCGGCTGATCTTAGTTGCTGCGACAAGCACTCAGAGATACTCAGAGTTTTTCACGCCAGGATGCCAACTGGATACAACACGATAGACATTTCATATCACATCACAAACAACATTGACACAGAATTTCACACCGTCCTTGAGTGCCTCAGGATTCTTTTCTCCTCAGCAAGTCTGGACTTCAACCTCTTTGCCTTGGTTTCTCGATCTGAGTAGGGATGGTGTTTAGAAGCACGCTGTGAATTGTATTTTGCACGGTCCGCAAGGGTACAAGATGCAGCCACTTGTAAAAACTGAGGTTTACCATATTGCTACTCTTTTAATTGTCCTCTACTGGGCACGGGCCAAACGTTCTCGCTCTGGCAAGGAAAGCTTGGGTTTTTGCATCCCAGGCTGTGGCTTTGTGACAGCTGGTCTTTCAATGGACATGTCTCCGTTGGTTGCCACCGGCACCACGCAGGAACTCCATTGGGCGCAACTTTTGTGCCTTCGCATTGCGTTGCTGACGGTGTGTTCGGTGCAAGTGTCATCGGCGACTTGCCAAGCTTTCCGCGATGTTTCGAGAGATGTTGCTTTGAGTATCTTTGAGTCATGATACACATCCCTTGTGTTGGCGCGTCTTGGCGTGGTGAGTTGCTGAGGTCGCAATTTTCAGTCTTCCAGGAATACCCCAATTTTTCTCCTCACCGATGGCCAGACTGTTGGGCCTCGAGGCAAGTGAAACTGAGATGGAAAAAACAGTCGATATCTTGCGCTTGAGAGGTCTCCATCCCTGTGTGTTGGCAAAATCTGTCCAGCTTTCTATTGATTCAGCTGCTTCTTGGCTGCAAGAGGCCAAATGTCCAGGTGTTGCTTCACTGCTTGACTCATCATTCTTGTCGATCAGAGACATCAGAGCCCGGAAAGTCTCATTTAGGTTGGTTTGGCCCGCGCAAAGAGCCAAGCGACTTCCAACACAGATGCAGGACAATGTGCTGGGAATTTAAGTTGCCTTGCAACTCTTTTTCATCTAGGGTAGTTTTGGACGACGCAGGCTCCACATTCTTAATTCCCTGCCTCAATAGCATGACAACTCATCTTGTGTTGACTGATGCTGTCCGGAACTGCCAAAATTGGGGGTTTAATTGTAGATTTGTTGGAAACAAGCCTCTGCAACCTGAGGACAGGCGGACCGCTGAAGAGGCATGTGCACGTTTGATATTTAGTAAAATGCCTTGTATTATGTCAATGGCCTACCCAATGACAATAGACACTGGGGTCATTCTCTCATACTACCGTTCATGGGAATACAGTATATGTATATATATATACAATATATAATCATGATAATAAACATATATACGAACAATAATAATGAGAATAATAATAACACGGGCGTGGGTTTTTCATCATTGGGGTTGTCGATTTGGAGTCAGGAATGAGCACAATACCTTGTATTTTACACTTATGTATGCTTCTTTAACAATAATTCTTGTTGGCATCACGTTCAGGTCAATATTCAAAAAAACACTTTGCAACGTATCAACATTTGCCTTCAAAGCTCATATTCTCTTCCGCCTTCCTTTGTCTTTCTTCAGCCGCGGTTTTTCGTTTTTGAAGAGTTGGTCCAACTGCTGCACATATTTATGTTGATGTTGGAAACGGAACTGCCTTTTTGGCCAACTTAAAGTCGTCAACAATGTTATTACGCCCCCACCCCCTGTTGAGCATAAGCGAGCATGTGCAACATACATGTCAACAACGGCAACGAGTGAAATGCTCAAAAAGGAGCACGCAGCAGTTACATGGAAAAACAGGAGCCCGCCTCGAGTTGTTGACCCCAATAACAACAGTAGTAATAATTGTAAGAATAATAATAGTAATCAAGGTAATACTAATAGTAAAAATATTAATGAGAATAATAATAACAACACCAATGCTAACTAATAATAGTACTGTAATAACAATAACAACAACAACAACGAAAAATCACAATGATAATAACACGAGTACTGATAATGATAATAATCATGACAATACTAGTAATGATATTAGTAATGATATTAGTAATGATATTAGTAATGATATTAGTAATGATAATGATAATGATGATAATAATGATAATAATAAGGTGGGTTTTCCAATCGTCACTTCAGAGGAATACAAACTGCATTTCAGGAAACATCCCTTTGTTAGCAACTCCATGCTTGAAGTGTTTGTCTTGCAGGCACCATCGCCTTTCGTGTCCAAGTATGCAGAGGAGGGGTCAAAGGATAGCTTCGCACATGCTGTGCAGAACAGACGCGGCAGGACCAAGCAGTTCTGCATGAAAAAGAAGCGCAGAACAGGCCTGCTGTCGTGTCATCGTTGATGCTGACATGATCACAATGATAGGCCTGATAGGCTCTCCTTGGTTACGTGGTGAAAGAGCATGAACTGCTGATGGTATGTTGGAAAATGTCCTGTCTAACTGACACGGACACCAGGGGCGAGCACCCAGTGTGAGCCTTATGGAATGTGCACTGCAGCGAAGCAGTTGCTGGTGGGATCAAACCAAAGACCAAGCTAATCGCATCTGCCAAGGATGGAGATGAAATCAGAGAAGGATCTGATGGTGCGTCACCTTGGAAATCTGTTGCTGACAAGGCACTTTGCCGATACCAACCAGCGCTCAACTCGTCCTTGGATTCTTGGAAAGGCCAACTATGTTTGTGGTCGGGCTCTTCTGCCTCTCTTTTCAATGCTACTCGACTGAACTGATCCCGTAGATCAGGGATTTTGAACATCACCTTCAAATATCTGTTGGAAATTATATCCCCAACACTTGGGTGATGTTCAATTGGGACATTTACCAACCCCCGTAGATTTGACGAAAATTTGACTCGGACAGTGTGAGGATGTCCTTGTTCATGGTGTGGCCGTCTCTGACGACTTTGCCCCTGCTGTGCCGAGCCTAGTTGAACGCACCGGAGAGGCCGAGCCGCGCGGCCAAGGAGTTCACAGCGCAATTTGAGTGCGAGAGTCGAAGGATTTTTCAATTGTATATGGTGTATACAATGTGAGGGCCCTCACGGTAGCTAAGTTGGTGAACATAACTCCAATTTCACTATGGTTTATGGTACGCAAATAACTATAGTTACTGGGGCTTTTGTTAACCAACTTATAACTGGGGGGCCTCACATTGTATTGGTTAATCATCATGTTCCGTTAATGTTGATGGTTAATGTTTAATCCATTGGTTAAGGCTTGCTGGCTTTTCCTTGCACCACATTCCTGTGGAGAGATTTCCGCGGATGCCCGAGAGTGATTGCCTGACAGTCACGGGCAAACTGACCACGGGCTGGGGGGGTGTTGGAACATACAGTTGGAATAGAACAGAGGAACACACCATAGGCCCACACCATGTGTTTGCTTTTCGCATTTGCTCACTTTCCGGTAGATTGAAAACATCCCACTGCATGAATTGCTGGCTTATGCTGAGGATTGTCTTCTTCTACGGCGCTTTGGTCTATGAAATGCTGTGCAGCATTGTGTGGTTCTGCACAGAACTCAGTCTGCATAGCTCTTTCAGAGAGCTTCCTATCATGTCTTACCAAGCCTTGAGGCTACAACATCTTCTGCACCATGAGCGACCAACCTTTGTCCATGGTGCCTTATGAGTTTACTTGGCTCGAGCGTGGTGGCTTACAGTGCTATTTGCGAAAAGGAGACTGGGAGACTGGGAGACTGTGCGGGTGCAGTCTACTTGTTCGGTTTGATTCGGTTTGTCTCTGCATCAGTTGCTGGTGCTGTGGGACTGTTGCGAAGGACCTGCTGACCCAGAGGTCCGAAGATACATCTTTGCGCTTGGTCAGGCCATGCGTTGTGTTTGTCGACCCAAAAGCATAAACAAGTATTCCACCCTGGTCCACCCTCCTGTCCTCCGGGCTCGCTGAAATCATTGGCTTCTTAGGCTTCTTTCCCTCGTGGTCATTGTTCGGAATGGCTGATTTACATTTGTCCATGGAGCAAGGTGCAGGTTTTACTTCCGCTCTATTGGCTGATCTCATGGTTCAGCGGCCCTCGGCTCCTGGATTGTTTACATATTGCATTTCTGCCCTGGACTGCATTCCACCCTTTGACCCTGACATGCTTCTGATGCAAAGAACAATTAACTGCCTCTTACTGCTGGACTTTAAAGCTTTGGTAGGCTTCTGACATATGCAGATGCAGTTGGACTTGAAGCATACCTTGTCAAATTGACAATGCTACCTGTGTGTTTTATGTACGTGTGAGTGTTTGCCTGCATGTATAGTAGCATAATTTTTGTTTCAGACTGCGGTATTTCATGATGCTTGCTTCTTGAATGCTGTCTCGTAAAGCAGTTGACAGAGCTGCCTTTACTGTAACAGGGCCTTGCTGTGGTAGCTACCGCTGCTTGTACAAGAAGTCGAAGCTGTCAGGAGCAGACTCCACCTGTAGAGAGATTTATGGCATGCATAGTACATCATAGTACTGCTGGTATCCTGCTCTTTGTCAGAATGGAATGGTACCAGCGAAACAACTTAGACATGTCGGATTTAGGTATTTTTAGACAACCACTGCTGGTTTGTGTGTCACCAATTTGACACATGTGTGGCAGGAGCAGCAGTCGCCAGCTGGCAATCCTTCAAGACCTTGTGCAGGCCTTCAAAGATCACTGTAGGGAAATGGAAGAAACAATTCATTGAAGGAAGTCGTACGTTGTACTTGTATGGGTATGTATGGGTTGGACAGTCACTTCCTTGTAATACGGGCCGAATGATTTTTTGACTAGTGAAGCTCAAGGCTCGACTCAAACTTTTGGGATTCAATCATTCCCCAAGTTCAATCCCAAAACTGGGATGTGCGAGCATCAGCTACCTGCTTGGCAATTGTTGAACTTATTCAAAGACTTTGCCCTGCCTGTCAGCAAAGACTTTTCTTTCACAGGCTTGAGTTTAGTGAAAGTCATATATATATATATAAATGTGTGTGTGTGAAAATTACACAAATGATATTTTTCCGATAATTTAGGCATCCCGCAAAAGAACCATTTATATTATCTAGCAAACCTCCACAAAAGAATTGCGGTTTCAGGTGTCCAACAGGTTGACCAAGACAGGCGATTGCAGCACTGCTTCTCCCAGTAGAATCTTGGGGTCGGAACAGGCTTCCGAGAATAGTTCCCAGTTGTTTTTTATTGGGTGTAGCCCTATTGGGTTTACCAAATTGGCGACACCCTTGCTGCTTTCGTGCTATCTCCAGGTGGTTGGGCTTCGTCGGCTTTAGTGCGGAAGGACGGATGGAGCTGGACGTCAACATTCTCATGCCAACCCAGGATGACCAAACAAACCTCTGGTTTGGTAAGGTGGGTGGGACTATATATATATATTTATATAACAGATTCTAATTGGAGAAGGTTTAAGCAGAGTTTATTCATCCGGAGTTGCAGTAACCACTTTGTTGGTCTGTTTTTGCTCCAGCACGCTCCTGGAGCTAAGTTTTGATGATGCTGACTGCAGGTAGTTGCATTCTCTCGGCCATTTACTGTCTCCTTTGTGGTCGTAGCCAGAAGCTCATTTCTTCAGCTTTTCTATGTTCTGATCCAGATGTTTTTGTGTCGACTCTGAATTTGGGTATGTCTGAAAATGGGGTATACCCCCAATTATAGCCATTTAGTAGGGATAATGATCATTAACCATTGGGTGTAGGGCTACACTATTTTCAGACAAACCCATTTGTGACACATGGATTTTTGGTGCTTGTCTCTATCCTGCCTGCCGAATTGAGGTGATCCTTGGGCAGAATTCTCCCAATGTTTTTGGCATGCTCTATTTGACACCTGGCTGCATTGAAAACAACCTGTCGGACGATGTCAGACTTTGCATGTTTTGGGTCAGTGAATCACCGAAAAAAAAATGATCCCATCCCATGATCCCATAGATAATCCCAATTGTTAGTGGTTAAATCCAGTTAAATCCAGTTACCCTCTGGTAATTTAACAGTTTGCTATTGAAAATTGCCATTTATAGTTGATTTACCCAGCTATAAAATGGTGATTTTCCATAGTTATGTTAGTTTACCAGAGGGTAAATTCCAGTGAAATTCCCCCCCCAAATCCCTAGGACTTGGCTCACTTGCCTCGTGGCCTAGGATTTGGCTCGTGGGACTCACAATCTCTGGAGCCTGGGCGTCCTACATCAACTCTGGCCACTCGGCCCAGCTGGACCTGAAAAAATCCACTAGTCAATCCATGTGGGATCCCCAAAAACGCTGGATGGTTTAGCTGGATGGTTTATTTCATGGAAAATATGGAAAATCCCAATCTAAAATAGATGCTTAAATAATGGGGTATCCCCATTTTAGGAAACCTCCAAATTTTGTCCCATTCAATGGCCATGCCCCTCTTTTCAAACAAACCACGTTGAGAACTTTGGTGAAGGCTGGGACCTCCTCCGTGCCAACGAATTGACTTGGCGAAGCCGGGATTGCCAGATGGAGACTCAAACTGCCACTGGAGGCTGCAAACACACAGGGACGCCGTCAGCGACAGAAACACGCGGGAAATCAGTCCTTATCCTGTTGAGCATTGTTAAATAGCGAACACTACTGTGGGCATGGAACGCAACCAGATCTTCTGGTTCAGCGCCGACCAAGCGCGCTGTGAAGACAGACCTCCTGCAAAACATGCGCCATTGAGATGTTTGATCAATTCATCAACAGGATGTTTGCACCGAGGTCTGTTGGTCTTGAGCAACTGCATTGTTCTGGCGCTTGCATATTGTCAGGCTTGGCGACTTGAAACCCATGGATAATTAGCTGGAAAGCTGGAAGCTGTATATGAAGCTACGAGAAAAAACATGGTTCCCAGAGCCAACCAGCAGTTTTTCACTGTTGAAGGATAGCAGGATAGCCAGTCATCAAACTTCTGACAGGTTATGGAGTCCACAAACCTTGACTTCGTCGGATTGGAGCGGTCTTCACAAACTATCTTAGAGGTTCGCTTGACATGAGCCATGGTCAATACTCATGGTTAATAACCATTAATAGGGGCTAGTCATCCAATGGTTCATAGGGATTTATAATAACCATTATAAGGATCCTGATTATGGATGGGATGACCATCAACCATATAGTATTGACCATGGCTCACATGGTTGTGCCACAAGCAAAGATTGAGACCAGATGAGCAGAAAACCAAATAGACCAAGATGATCCAAGATGTGTGGGTGACACATGGCAAATTGTACCACCAGCCACTTGCTTTCAGGTCACATGGGCGCATTTGACGATTGGAGTTCTTGCTGGTTTGCAGACTTTGGCTTTCTCGCAGAAAGTGCAGATTCCAGCCATGTTTGTGGATAGCAACTCTGCGCTAGTGACTTGGTTTCCAACATTTGTTGTGAATTTGCTGTGGCTATCAGCATCTTGTGCAAGTTTCCCCTTTGTTACACTTTTGAGCCCAGGTGTCAAGGTGGTTTTTGATAGGAC